CTGGAGCGACGGCAGTGGCTTTGTCGAGGCAGCTGTCGCCCGGCCGTGCCTCGGCAGGAGCTGTCGCGTAAGCAGAATCAGTGCCTCTGGTGCAGCTTTGGCGTGCGGGGAGGGAGGGCGGGCGCGCCTGTGTCGGGGTCCGCTGTTAGCCCGAGCGAGGCGTAAAATCCTTGGCACGGAGGACTGGGGCGGAACGAACCTGGCCGCATTCGGGGAGGTGCTTATTGCCAGGAGTTAGGGGACCTTTCAGCTGCTGCTGTTCCGTCAGAGAAGGTGTAAGTTCTAGTGAAACCCCAATCTCTAATGCAAAGGTCTTTCCAAATCCCAGCAGGTGTGCACAGCATGCAGAATTGGAATTGGCTTAGAGTAAATCAGAGTTGAGAGTGAATTTGGAACAAGCTAGAACAGTCTCAGAAACATTAATGTGGGTGAGCCTGGTTTTCAAGGGGAAAAAAGTGATAGAGGGTTAGCTGCACTGCACTTGCTGCATGTTACAGAATACTCAACATCTGGAACAGAATGTGCCTGTGCTTCATTGCCTGTCCACGGACAGCTCCAAACAGTTCCATCTGTCCCAAGGAGTGTGCTGGGAAAAAAACCACGAAAACATGCTCTTAGCAGCTATTGTGAATCTACTGCAAAAGATGTTGCTGGTATCTAGAGAGCATCGTTCATCATCAGTCACTTCATTGCCTAATAGAAACATAGGAGCCAAAAAGTCAACAATTTGATGAAGAATGGCTACTGTGAAAAAAACCCCAACAAACCAAAAACCAACCAACCAACCAAAAAAAAAAAACCAAAAAACACTACCCCAAAAACAGAAAAGAAAGTGCAGATTAAAATGCACAATAGTGATGAATTATTACCCTGGTAGTAAATAAAATCATAATATCAGAAACTTCAAGAGCTCTCTTCTCACTTGTGGAAGTCTGGCTATATATATATATATGTATGTATATACTCAGTTTCAAAATACAGGCTGAGACTTGTATAATGGTAATGACTTCTTGAAGTTGTCAGGTATTCAGAAAATGTGGCTATTTAGAATTACATAATGGAATAACGTAAAATTTGTGCACAAAATAAAAGTTTTTGATCATTACTTGTAAGATATTGCTGGTTTGAAGTGTATGTATCACCATCATGCCCCTTTGTTTATTTATCTGGCACAATCCATTTGTTGATACTATTGTCATAAACACACAGAATAGTTTGATTTGGAAGACACCTTTTGGTTTTGGCTTATCTCCAGTTTGCATCCTGATAACTTTTTGCATTCAGAAATAGATACGTACCTGCAACTACTGTTGTGGTAATTTGATTTCTAGAGTCAAGATTTAGAGATTATTTCTATTGAGGTTTCTAATTCTTAGGTGAAACTTTTTATGCATTGCTGGTGTTTCATTTTTGCCCTTTCAATCACTTCCACACAGGCAAGCAGTTATGAGGAAGACAGTTAAGAGAATGAGGGACGAAGGTGTCACTTGGACTTCAGTTTCATATCTGCTTTCTTTGGATATTTGCTCAAATAAGAGTGTCCTTTTTTTTTCCTATACAATTCTAAATATTCCTACAATATCTCTGCTTCATCATGCTGACTACTGAGAATGAGTTTGCAGTGTTGCTGTTATTGGCCTGTGCGTATGTATGCGTGTCCATGTATGTACATACAGCTAAATAAATTGATTTTATTTCAATGCTAAATCATCCACTCTTTCAAGTAAATTTCTGTTCATCATGTTGTGAATCTCGATGAGATAAAATAAATCCATTTAATTTTTTTGATAGACAAACTGAGTGTCAGGGGTTCCTGCTTTGCTCCCCTGGCATTTAGTGAAGTTGTGTCCCATAGCACTGCCAGAGCTCTCACCTGCCAGGCAGGAGCTTTGTTTATGGCTTCACTGCAGGTGTTCAATACTTTGGGTACAACGTGGCCTGGCTGGCTGCAGAGAAGGAGTGATGACTTTCACTGGTGTTCTGATATCTATGGATGCAAGAGTGTACGAGCTGTTTTCTAGTAACTGCAGTTCTGCCTGTATTAACTTGCTTCTGTTTCTGAAGAAATGAGCATTTCCTGCATTTTTATGAGGTAAAGTAATGAAGTTTTAAATTGTTGTGTAGTTGTCAGCTAACAGATTTTATTGCAGTCCAAGCCAGACGTGAAGCAGACTGACTTTCAAGGCTGTTTTCCAGTGAATAATATGCCACATGCAGCTTTTGTTGTGTGCTTTCCTACAGATAATTTGGGCAAACTGCCTCTATATTCCTTGATTCCAATGGGCACTTTAGAGGAAGTGAAGAATTAATGCAAAAACCAATTCTGTGTATTTGCATAGTGTTGCTTGTATTATTAGAAGTTTGTTGTACTTCAAAATTATCTCAGTTGTTGGGAGTTTATGTGGGTTTCTTTTCCTCCTTTAGTTTTGGGTTTTTTTAATGGCTGCAAGATTAAGCCCTGTTTTTTATCAGTGAGGTAGCTTACCCTGCTTTGGAGATGGGATTTCAGTACAGCAGCAGTCTTGTGTGGCGCATTTTTTAAGGCCATCCAAGAACACTATACGTTGACTTTTAAAGTGTAATTAATATTTCACTGTTATGAGAGGTATAAACTGGTAAAATGTTCTATGATCAGTCGCTTCAAGATTATTTCAATAGCGTCTTAGAGACCCCTCCTAGCCTGTGACATACTTGATGGCAGTTTTTCTTTGATACAGCTGATGTTAATTAGTGTGGCTGTTGTAAATCTGAAGACTGATGCAAATGTGGTCTGAAGGGAGTAAGATTGATGAAGACTTTTGTCCAGAAACTTCTATGATCACAGCTGATAAGGCTTACATTCCTAGGTTAAAATTCTCTTGAATGATGATACGTATTTGCAGTGATGTCCTGAGTTCTCGAACAGATGGTGCAGATACTAGCTCCTACAAAACGCAAGGGAGGAGTGCACTGATTTATACAAATACCTGTTTATTTTCTTGCCTTTTCTCTGTATTCTGAGCAGGAATGTATGGAGGGAGTATCACAGAATCATTGAAGTTGAAAATCATTAAGTCCAATTTTTAAGTGATCACCACATTGTCAGCCAGACCAGAGCACTGAGTGACATGTCCTGTCATTTCTTTAGCACCTCCAGGGATGGTGACTCCACCACCTCCCTGGGCAGCCTGTTCCAATGCTTAGCAACCCTTTCAGTGAAGAAATTCTTCCTGATTTCCATCCTGAACCTGCCTTGCCTCAGGTTGAGGCCATTTCCTCTTGTTCTGTCACTTGTTGCCTGTTAGAGGCATTTTTGGTGTCATGGAGTATTTTGTTTTGTTTTTGTCTTAATGTTCATTATGACCCTCCTAGCTTTTCTATGTATTTCTGTTCTCAGACGTGCTACAACAGTAATGGTTTGTAATGTGGTTTTTTTTTTTCAAGAATTCCTTGTTGCTCAGCTAATTTAAGAAAAAGCAAGGGATCTTTTCTCACACCTTAGTGTGAATTAAAATGAGTATAATATATGTCATTCATCTGGTGGTGGGAACAGTGAATCATACTTCTGTGAGTGAGGGAAATTAAACAGGTGCAGACTTAGCAGCAGAAACTAATACTATGTTGGCAGACACACATCTTCGTGTTATAGTTATATGATGCTTCTCTGCTGCTGCTGTATGATGTGAGTAAAATTAAATAACTAATGTGGTTTGTCAACATCTATTCTTGTTATTTAAATTAAATAAGAGTTTTCATAGAACATAATTTTTAAAGGAAATTTCTTTTGAAATCTAATAGGAATTGTTAAGTGCCTGTCACTCTGATGTTAACAGGTTGCTTCAACGAACACTTCTGTTTGAAGACATAGGGCAGTGATCCACTGCTACTAACACCATTTTGTGGACTACATTTGCTGTATAAAACCCTGATGAATAAATGTAATGCAGATGGAAAGAGAATTTACATGATTCTTTGGAGTGTGACTGCATCATCTCCTACAGAAGTAGGCATGAGGCTCAACACAGAGCCCTTCTATAACCTAGTGAACCTGGTGTCCAGTTTTGGCATGTGCCTTCAGCCACTTTCTTAGATACATAATAGCTATGAAAACCTTAAACACTTTGACCTACTTCTGAGGAAAGGTTAAGAGAGGACCTGATTGTAGATAGGTGCCCAGACTCAAATTTTACCGGACTTTGCCCTACCTTTACACTAACTCCCAGGCAGGGGTGAAAGCTAAAGCGAGATGAAATGCAATACTTTTTAAAAATGAGTGTACAATGAGTGTACTGCTGTGAGTTTACAGAATATTCTGAAGCTGGAAGGGACCCAAAAGGGTCATTGAGTCCAGCTCAAGTTGTCTTAGTTGTCAGTACCTGCCAAATGCGTGAGTTTACATATTGCAAATAAAACTGTCGTCATTCTAAGCTATTGTTCTATGTGACTATACTGAGCCTAAGTAACACAGGTTCCCTCTGCATGTGCTGAGGTACCATGGAAGGTAACGAACGGGGCTTCTGACTGAGCATTATTTCTTTTTCTTCATCTGTGCTAATTCTTTAAGGCATTATTGTGTGTTAAGTTTCATTATGACTGCTGATTAACTTCAGAGATAATTTTTTTTTTTTCTTTAGAGCACACAGTGGATGTGTCCAAAGTTAATATGTGCTTTAAAGTACCTGCTTGCTTGAGTTAAATGCTATGTGCCTGACCCCAAAAGAGAAGAGGCTAGTGTGATGTTTCAGCTTGAAGGAAGCTGTTAAAAAACTGAGGGGTTTTCACTAGCCTTTTCAAACTGTAGTGATCTTCCCAGACTCTTTCAGAAATGTTCCAGCCAAAAATGCTATTGTCTTGAAAGTGCTGCTGCTCTGCCAGCACTGATGAATAGTTGAGTATTGGTATGGTGCCATACCCTGCTGAACATTATTTTGGTTAATTTACTAGAATTTTATTATGGAGCTGCTAACTTGATACTATATACAAATAAAATAAAACCTTCTTGTGTATGGGAATATAATCTATGGATTACTTTTAATTTTTGGATAGTGATATTCAGGTCTTTTGTGAATAAATAAGACAATTTTTCTTCTGACTCTTACTCACCAATTAAATATGGTGAGTGGTGACTGCTTCTCTGATGTGCGTAATGCCTGGGTTTTCCCGCAGGTCTTGCTTTCCCAAATTGATACAAGGAAGTTGGGATGCTCTGGTACTAACCCTGCCAAAATTACTGCAGCCTCAGTGCTGTTCCTGTTACAGTCCTGCCTACTCCTGAGTGGGCTGTCCATTAGTAGCCTGGTCAGTTCCCTCTAGCTGGAGATTTAAGGTTGTGGCTGAAATCAGAAGACGAGTTCCATTCTGTCCACTGGTGCTGTATTTCAAATTTCTTGTCATTTAACCCCAGCCTTCTACAGATGTTTTCAAGGTCACAGGAAGCATGTGTCTGCAAAGGAAGAAACTAAGGTGAAAAAGTAGTCACAAGAGTGTGCTGTAGCTTATTCTCTTTGTTTTTTAAGAGCAGATGGGTATAGAATCTTGTTGTCCGCTGCCTTTTAGGCACGCTGTATTTGACCTGTTTGCTTGAAGGCAACACTATGTTTCCTTGATCCCTATTGCAGGTTTTTACTGCTTTTCTGCTACACTGATGAACAGACTTACAGACCTTTAATGCCATCATCCTCTCCACTCACTGACAGGAAGTGCTGTTTACTCCTAGCATCTTAAGCCAAAAAAGCTTCTTTGTTTCCCAAAAGAAAGATGAAAAAACTCTGAGAACAAGGATGTAGAGTTACTTACAGATATCTATATGCATACGGAGATAATGGGGTGTTCTAACAGTTGTGATGGGCAGGATCACAGTGGATTCCTATCTCCTTGGTGTCCTTCCGATTCTCACACTTTCTCTGTTACATGTTTTCAATGCGTGGCCATGTCCCAGGGACTATGAATTCATCCACAGATGCCATGATGAACATAATTTTTTTTGGTGCATCTTCTTTCTTCTCAGGTGCCTATCCTTAATTAATTCCTTCTGTCTGGATCAGTGCTAGTGGTGACAATTTATATTTTAATATTTTCTCCAGGAGTAAGTTATCGATTTTGCTGGGTAAGAGCCCTTAGGGAAGTATGGAACAAAGAGGAACACCACTGTATGTGACAAACTTTCTGTAAATCCTAGACTGGAATGCCAAATTACTGCTTCTGGGGACTGGTCTTTTGGTTTGTACACAATCCCTGACCGAGGTCCATTTGTGTCACTTCAAGTCAACAAAAACAATTCCTCCATTTAGCAGAGAAAGTTAATCAGGAACGGCTGATGGTGCACCTATGCATATCTAATAAGCCTCACAAATTAAAAGCTTCCTATGCATATCTAATAAGCCTTACAAATTAAATGTTTCCTGTGTTGGGTTTCTAAGAAGCTTGCTGCCCTGTCAGACACAAGAGAAGGTGACAGGTTGTAATGGTGCATTCCCTCCCTAGGGATTCTTTAAGCTACCTTAAAACTCCTATTTGTAACACAAACATGCATCCAACTGCTGGAAGTCTTGTCTTCTGCATGTGACTGGGATAGTGGTTCTCTGTACAACAGTCAGGGATGCTTAGAAAAGCAAAGTTAATCTTGCCAAGTAACTACCCCACAGCTGGGATAGGTTATGTGTTGTGCTGTTTGATTTTTGACTTATATCAGCTCACAACTGTGAATTGTTTTGTAGCTTTTTTTGCCGAATAAAAGAATTGTCCTGCCAAAGCCATCTCTGAAGGTGTTACTGCAGTCATCACTTCTGGTAGCCATCTTGCAGTCCTTATTTCTCACCTTAGATATAAGAGCCTATAAAATGTATTTTTTCTTACTTTTACATCTCAGCCAAAAAAACTCAAATGAAGTCCCATTTACCCATTTTAATGGTAAGTTAGAGAACATGCTTAGCAAGTCTGACAACTTGATTTTGAATGTTCTGTGAGAGTTTTTTGCCAATTTTCTAAGTCAAACATAATGTCCAGTCCGGAAGCTGGCTTTCCTGTGTCTGCTGAAAAGAAGTTCCATTTGTGACAGTTGCGAATGTTAGTTTTAAGTGAGGGTCAGCTGACAGAGTTCCAGTGCTTCCTTTTAGGATTTTTATCTTATTTTTACCTGTCTATTTTCTTTTTAGAATACCTGAATTTTCATAATTTGATTTAAATTGTTCATATGTCCCATTACAGCATGTAACATAATAGAAAAAAAAATCCACTAGTATATTGTGATACATTGGATATGCTTCCTGCATCTGAAGTCAATGGATGTTGAGATCTGTTTGTTCAATTGGAAAAGCAGGTATGGTGGCAATATTATGTCTTTAGACTTCCGCATTAATAAGAACTAGAATAGCAATAAAAGTCTGAAGGTGCTTGGGTGCTTGATTAGTGCTCAGTCTTGGAAATGGAAGGTAATGTTGCAGATCGACATTCTCAGGCTGACAGTGTGTGTATGTGCATTTTACAGTAGTAATCTGTGAAAAGTGCTTTTCTTTAGCTTTTGTTTGGAACTCTGTACATTTCTTTAAGGCTCTCAGAATGTCCTTTCCTGGTGTTTGAGTACCTATGGCTTTTAAGTTAGGTTAGAATTTAAATGTCAGATCATTCTAGCTAGGAAATCACTGCTGTGTCCGATGGGCTTCAAAGTTCACATCATTGTTTGTTAAAAAAAAGAATTAGAGAAGAGTTTATTTTTTTTTAATTGAAAGTGAATGGGTGGCTCAAACACTTTTCTTTCAAACACACGCGCACACACACGCATACGCATGCCTGTGACTTTTCCTTAGGAGATTTTTCAAACTTCACAAAGTACCTTCCAACAGTCATTCTTGGGAAATTTAACAATATAGTTCCCTGCAAGTAGCACTGTAATACTTGTCTTGAACTCAGGGTTCTGAAGTGTTTACTTTGCCTAATGGCTATTAAATTGATATTCTTTTGGAAGGTGGATTGTTCTGCACTTCTTGCCAGGGAATGAAATTGCAAAGTTTCTTTGAAGACAAACTGTCCTAGCAAGACTGTGATGTATTCTGAGCATTGTGAATGTTGCAGAGGGGTAATTCAAATTATAGAAATGCAAAAAATGTGTAGATTAAGACTCTACTTTTTTATTACATCGGGTATTGATACTAAATGTTTTGTTGTAATGCACCTTTAACAGATCAGTGTGGTGATTTAACTTAAACATTTGCAAGCATTTGTTTTTGAAATAGAAAACTCTGTATTCATTCTCTGTTTTAAATCTTCTAATTTTTCTTTCAGATTACTCTTTACGTCTGTAGAAATGGACAGCAGCAGTTTCATTCAGTTTGATGTGCCAGAGTACAGCAACACTGTTCTGAGCCAGTTAAACGAACTCCGCTTGCAAGGGAAGCTCTGTGACATTATCGTGCACATCCAGGGTCAGCCGTTCCGTGCCCATAAAGCTGTCTTAGCGGCCAGTTCTCCATATTTCCGTGACCATTCAGCATTAAGCACCATGAGTGGCCTGTCTATATCAGTTATTAAAAACCCCAATGTTTTTGAACAGTTGCTTTCTTTTTGTTACACTGGAAGGATGTCCTTGCAACTGAAGGATGTTGTCAGTTTTCTGACTGCAGCTAGCTTTCTACAGATGCAGTGCGTCATTGACAAGTGCACACAGATACTGGAGAGTATCCATTCAAAGATTAGTGTTGGTGATGTTGATTCTGTCACTGTTGGTGCCGAAGAAAATTCAGAGAATCGCAATGGCGTTAAAGACAGCAGCTACTTTGCCAACCCTATTGAGATATCTCCTCCCTATTGCTCTCAGGTGCGACAGTCAACAGCAGGCAGTGATCTTCGGATGGAATCTACTCCAGGCAAAACTCTACGTAGTCGTCTGCAAGAAGAAGGGCACTCAGACCGAGGGAGCAGTGGGAGCATCTCTGAATATGAGATTCAGATTGAAGGTGATCATGAGCAAGGAGACCTGATAGTAAGGGAAAGTCAGATTGCAGAGGTGAAAGTTAAAATGGAAAAATCTGACAGGCCAAGCTGCTCTGATAGCTCTTCCCTTGGTGATGATGGATATCACACTGAAATGGTGGATGGAGAGCAGGTGGTAGCAGTAAATGTTGGTTCCTATGGGTCTGTCTTACAACATGTTTATTCATTTACCCATGCCTCATCACAGGCTACAGGTGTGTCAGAAACCTTTGGAAGCCTGAGCAATACAAGTCCTTCAAGGTCAATGCTGAGCTGTTTCAGGGGGGGTCGTGCACGCCAAAAGCGCGTACCTACAGGTCACTTGCATAGTGATGTCCAGGGCTTGGTGCAAGGGGCTGACAGTGAATCCATGGTGAGTAATCCAGGATATGAAAATAGTCCACGGGAAAGAAATGCAAGAGGTCATTGGTATCCATACAATGAGAGGCTAATTTGTATTTACTGTGGCAAATCTTTCAACCAGAAGGGGAGCCTTGATCGACACATGCGATTGCACATGGGAATAACTCCTTTTGTGTGCAAGTTTTGTGGGAAGAAATATACCCGTAAGGACCAACTTGAGTATCATATTCGTGGTCACACAGATGACAAACCCTTTCGCTGTGAGATCTGTGGAAAATGTTTTCCTTTCCAGGGTACACTAAACCAGCACTTGCGAAAAAATCACCCAGGGGTTACAGAAGTGCGAAACAGGGTTGAGTCTCCAGACAGAACAGAAACATTTGTGGAACAGAAAGTAGATAATGATGCTTCAGCTTCTGAAGCCATGGATTCTAGTATGGAAATTCATGCAATGTCTAACACATCAGATTAAAATTTTACATCTAAGTGAAACACAGAAAAGCACATTACTAATGTATTTTTTAAGTATTTTATTCTTTCAGTAATCTTCAATTACTGTGTACAAGTGTAATAACCTTTTAATTTTCCTGACCTTCTGGAAATCAGTTAGAAATGGTTTCTGGAGAAGACTTCAGAAGTATTTTGATTTTTAAGGAGGATGAATTGTTTGGGGTTTGTTTTTGAATATTTGAAGATGCTCAGAATATAAGGACAGTGTACTGAGGAAAGACTAGGAAGAGTCTGCTGAAGTGTCCCTGCTGACTGATCTGGTGAGACAGAAATGCCAGTGGAGAAAACTAGAGTAAGATTGGCAGCTCTGCTGAATGCTCAAAGAAGCTGTAATTTCCGTTTATTTCTTAAGTCCTGTTCCTGGTAATGAGTTAAACAGCAGTGGAAGAGAGAATATTACAGCTTTGATTTGATTTGATTCTCCTGTCACAGTGAAATCCGTTCACTCTTACTAACTGATTTTTTTGGTAGTGAGTCTGTTTATATATATAAATTTGCTTTATATATATAAAATGCTTTCACTTTCCCTGTTCTGGTTGAGGTGAATGTAAAAGTATGTCAAGGCTTATACCATATGCCACTCTGTCAACTGTTAGGATTCCTCTCTGCTTAGGGTGCAGAACTTCAGACTTTGGGAGGATGGTTTTGGTTTTAAACCTGTTGTTTGGTTTTCATTTTATTAAAGCTATTACCTTGTGTGCAAAAGTGAGCAAAGTGAATTACCTTGTTTTAATAGCTTTGCTTTATAACATATGTAAACCAAATGCCATAAATCTATTAAACTATGGTTAAATTGTTTAAAGGTTTTGTTAGTTGTCTAGAATCCAAGCTGGACAACCTGTGGTGCTGACCTTTTTATATATAGAGATAGATATATCTATATATATACAGATACATACACACACACACACACACACACACATATATATATATATGTATATATATATATATGTAAAATATTAGCAAACCTAAAAGTAGCATTGTGGTCTAAAATGTGTTTTTACTGGCCTCAGAATCTACCTTCATTTCGTACTGTAGAACCATACCAGGTAATTAAACTTAACTTCATCACTCTTCATGGTTGGTTAAAACATGAGAGAGATGTAGTTTAAACCACAGTATTTCCAAGCAGTATTTTAATAGATCTCTTCACAGAGAGCTGTTTTCAGGTGCACGTTGACTTCCTACTTAAATCTCCAAGTGATCTGCCAGCACTTGGAATTTATACTTTTTTTGTATAGAAAAACAAATACTCTATGGGAATTTTGAGCAATATGTTATTTCATGTGTGAGTATTACAGAGTTGCTATGGCTTCTCTGTTTTTTCAGTGTTTTTTTTCTCTATAAAGGAGCTACCAACAACTTTAAAAATACTCTAAATCTTTTTTGTTTCACCAAATGTATGTTTTTAATATGGTGCTAACTTCATAATTTAGGTCAGTATAATATATAAAATGTGAAACGTAATCATAATGGTCAAGAAAAAAAAATCTCCAACAATAGACAAACAAAAGCCCTCCCTACACAAACCAACACCCCCCAAACCCCCAACCAAACAGGAAAAACAAAAACACACAAAAAAATAGAAAAATAAAAACAAAAATCCCAAAACAGATAAAAAACTGACAACAAAACCCATACCACAAAGAAAACCAATAGCTTAAGAGACCTCAAAAGCATGGACTGGCAAACACTACTGTTTAACGTTCTACCTGAATTCTACTTGATGAACAGAATTAATTATTAAACTAATCACATACTTCTTTAGAATACAGGTTTTTATATTGGTTCTTACGTTTGTTTAGCTGATACTAAAAATACATTTGTGAACGTGCTGTTTAACTCCCAAAAATTAGAAAATAAAAGCTAATTTCTAAATTATTGGAAAGAAAAAGGTAGGTTTGCTATCACGTAAAACTTTCTGGCCCCTGTGAAGCTGGGGCATATTTGTGCAGTAGCTTTATTAAATACACTAGTTCTTAATATTGTGACAGTCTGCAATAAGAATTAGTCTCTCAAACATGGATTTACAATGTAACCCCCACCTGCTTTATTGGAGTAGTTTCAGTTAAATTGAGTACGTTGTTTGCTTCTTTGTCCTAAAACTGCCTAAATGAAGAGGTAGGGGGCAGGGAGATGTTTCTCTCCCTGAAGCAACAACAGAAATTTCGTTTCCAGTAAGGGAAGGGATAGTCTATGTCTAAGGCAGGTAGTCTGTTTGTTTACTCACCGAAAAACATGGTGTTTCTGATACAGTTTTTTCCTTGAGTGTTTAAGTAATTAAATGCAAAAAGTGTGTTTTGGTAAATTAAGTTTGAGACATGCAAAATCCAAGAAATGTACAGTTATTCTTAACCCTTTATCTTGAACCTGTGCTGTGGTGCCTTTGGTGTGATGTTTTCCCTGGAAGGATGACTTGAGGATAGCAGGATATGGGTAACAAATTTATATTTCTTGAATTTCTCTGTGTCACAATCTTAGCATTATTTGAATCTAGTTCTTTGTATTTGTAAATGTATTAAAATGGTTTGAGTTTACCAAAGAGTGACTTATCCAAAATTGTCTCAGACAAAAGCAAACAAAAAAAAACCATTGCGTTGATTGTACAGGTTCAGGTTCAATACATTGTAACAGACTGTTAAGGGGCAGGAAATGATCCGTTTTTCTAGGAGCCGTGATTCAGCAGTGTGCAAATCCTGCTCGCCCCAGCTCGGGTGGGGTGTGCCATTCCCTCCGCAGGCGGGCAACATTCTTGCCTCCAAGCCATAGTCCAGCTCTGCGGCCCAGCAGCGCCCCACGCGCGGCTCTCCCAGACACCGACGTCACCCTTGGCAGCAGCGGTGCCACCATGCCTTGTCACATAGTGGGGTGCCAGGATCAGCACTGTCACAGACACGAGGTGTCATGATGGAGTTTGTGTCACCAGCCCACCGAGCAGGAGGCCATTGCTTTAGCAAATGGTGGAAACCTTGTGCAGTGTCTGTGCGGTTCTCAGCACAGAGCTGTTACACATTTCATTTACAATAAATGCAGAAGTCAATAAAATATGTGAAGAAATATTTGACAGCAAAATAAGTAATGAAATTATACAGGCTGGTTCATAATTGAGTCTCTTGTTAATCTACCTTTTTAATTCTAGACAAATGTGAAAACAGTGACAGTGTCCTTTCCTCTAGTTGCTTAACCCAAACTGTGAAAATAAAGGATTTTATGCCTTTGCTTATGTTTCTGGTTTAAAACCATTATTTTAGTTTTCTTTATCAATTATCTTCCATATTATTTCTTTTAAACTTGTAAATACATTTAGAAAATAGCTTTGTAAATACTTACAGTGTATTCAAAGTTCCGTTTGGTCACTAAGGCCTCGAGATTGGCACTGCTTTCTGAGTGTGAAATCTTTCTGTAGCATAAAGGATACTGTCAGTTCACTGTCAGCAGGGTAGACTGTAGGCCTAAATTGAAAGTTTTAATGCAGTCTTCCCCAGCATAGATCCATGTTTTATGCTGAAGCCTTTGGTTTACTTCTAGACGAAACAATGAGGCCTCTTAATATGTTAAGGCTGAATTATGGGAAGAAGAACAGGAATAAAATCAAGGGCTGGGAAAATATTGAATAAGCTTTACCTTTAAATATATATATAATTTGAATTTTTGTATTAGTTTACTGTGATTCTTTTATTGTCATTTTTCTAAATAGGTTTCACATGAAACCTTGAAAGGGACTCAAATATGCAACACCTAATCTATTTTCCAAGGGAATTTTACCCTTGAATGGTGCTTTTTGACTGGTCAGGGTTATTTATTAAATTTTATATTTGAAAGTATTTGGGGAATTATGTAAATCCTTTATATGAATCTCTTTATTTCATGAATTGTAAATTTCATAATACTCAGTGATCAAATTGGAAGTTTAGTAAAGTCATTCAAAATGTTCAAACTTTATAATCTGTGTGCATTTTACATATATTTTATCAAGTGCCAGAATACTTATATTTAATATTGTAGATTTAATACTACTTGCACATCCCTGTGGCAGCATTAAGTTACGCAAGTTTACATTAAAAAAATAAAAAAAGCTAAACAAATAAGTAAGCCTGGGACATGTGTTCCTGTATTTCTTCAGGGGATGTGAAGCCACGTATCACTGACTGAGCAGGTTTGCTTTTTGCTCCTGTAGCTCGCTCCTGCTATGGTAGATGCAGAACTGCTGACTCCCATTCCCACAGGCCAGGGTTTCAGCCTTTGGACTCAGCCCAGGAACCTCTGGTTCTAGATCTGGTTAGAGCTCTTGCACGATTTTAACAGTGTTTGTTTCTGACTGAAAATTTGTATTTTTAAATAACTTTTGTTTGTATGGTTATTTTTCAAGATAAATAATTGAACAGTTTGAATGACTTGACTTGATGTCATTATCTTGCAATATAAACCAGGAACCTCACACCTCCGCACTTCATCGCCACATGAAGTAAATGAAGCTAGCTAAGCTGATGCTGTAAGAATTAGTAACTTGCCATTAAGGATTATTTTACAGCATGAACTTTAAAATATTTATTCAAATGATATTTTACTCTTGTATTCACTTTGTTTTTAGATTTGTGACATGAATATTTCTGTGCTGCTTTATTTTGTTCTGATGAGTTTGTTTCTTGCTTGTAAATAGCTTTTTTTATGGTATAAAGTCAATCGGAATTGCTGTTTGTAAATTAAAATGCTTCTAGAGCAAATCTATGGTGTCAGTGTCTACATTTAGATATTTAATTGCTAAGGGGCTTACATTTTAGGTACTGCTTACTGAAGTGTTACGAGAAGCATTTTAATACTGATCTACCAACTAGAAATCAAAAGTCTTTAGAGACAACTACTCTTGAAGTTTCTCTGTTTTGGCAGCATTAATTACTTAGATTAATTAGGACTAAGATTATCATTTGCATTGTGCGCTCCAAAACCTCAACCAATTTTCAGAGCAAAACAAAAAGTCCAGCCAGGTGGTGGCAATCCATCCATGCCATTCCAAGGCAGGTCTGTTGAAGAGGGACACCCTGCTTCATTCCTACAGCAGCAGTTTTGTTTTATGTTCTGCCACATATATCAGTAGGGCTGATGCTGCTCCCAGCAAGTGTAGGTACACCCCTCCTCACCCACAAGCTCAAATTTAACAGGAGCAGCCCCTGTGCAGCTGTAGGCCATGGTTATCTTGACTGGCAGTGGGATTGGAGTTGAGTGGGTTAGTCCCTGAGTCCCTGTTGGTGTCAGGGTAGCTATTCCAGCAAAACCTCCCTTCAAATCCCCTTGTAAGGTCTGAAACTTCAAACAATGCAGAATGGAGTAAACAAGACCTGACTATTAGGAGTGGGACAAACAAACTGCTGCCCTGGCCACGGACATGATCAGGTGCCTGGAGCATCTCTGCTCTGGAGCCAGGCTGAGAGAGCTTGTGGTGCTCACCTGGGGGAGACCTCAGAGCCCCTTCCAGCACCTAAAAGGGCTCCAGGAGATCTGGAGAGGGACTTTGGATGAGGACCTGGAATGCCATGACAAGAGGGAATGGCTTCCCACTGACAGAGGGAGGGGTTAGATGGGATACTGGGAAGGAATTCTTCCTTGTGATGGTGTTGGGGGGAGGCCCTGGCACTGGGTGCCTGGAGAAGTTGTGGCTGCCCCTGGATGCCTTGAAGTGTCCAAGGCCAGGTTGGACCAGGCTTGGAGCACTCTTGGAGAGTGGAAGGTGTCTCTGCTCATGGCAGGGAGGTGGAATGCGATGAGATTAAGTCCCTTCCAACCCAAATCAGTCTGATTCTATGAATGTTCTGAAATACCTGATTTTTTCTCATCCTAGCTGGCACATCTAAATTCAGCATCAAGGAAAAAACAGATGCAGAGATTGAATACTTGTTTTAAAAGTGCTATGAAATACCACTTCCAGCAAAGCAGAAAATAGAAGACAAAGATTTTGTGAAAAAGTTTTGTTGAGACAGCTAAGGAAAAAAATGGTTTAGGTTAAAAAACCAGTTCTGTTCACCTGATATTTGTGCACATGCAGACATAGGCCCCATTGCTTAACTTTTTGTAATGCAAACTTCCTGAAAACAGTTTGAGGGGAAGTTAGAATAGCCAATGAAAATGACATTCAGAGTTTATACTCTTCCAGTAATAATTATGCAGAGAAAATGAAGCCAAATCCCATGGATGCTACGTTTCATGAGCTATATTAAATAGCATAGTACATTTGTATTGTGCATGGGTTTAGAAAATTTTTAAATTGAATATTATGTCAAAAGTCAGTTGAATTATAGAAAGAAACATTTCATTAAAATTTAGGGAAATTATATGGCTGATGACATTGTCTAAAGTAACATTACTTGTCTATGCATACTTTTCCACCAGAGGGTGCTGGCTGATTTAAAAAAATATGTTATATAGGGGTCATTTAAGGCACTGTACATAGCAGAAGCCTAAAATAGGAACAAAAAAAAGAGGTTTGCAGTCTTCATTATGACACCTTCAAGAGGAGAAGGTGCTGGGTGATTCCATTGTTAGCAGAGCAGTGTTTATACCCAGGATTTCAGAGGCTGTCCTGCTGTGCTGCATGAGACCTGTAGAAATACCAGTAACTAATGTATATTTTTCAAAGACTGTAGCCCATAGACAGCTGTTTTAATGTCCTGGCACGGTGATACAGGACAGAGCAGAAAGCATTTTACCAAAGAATTCTGTACTTTTGCTCTAGTGGGAACTGATGCTGTAAGTATTAGAGGAAAATGTGTTGCTTGGTAGTACACCAATAGGATAAACTAAAATAACAATAGTATATTAAATGATTGGAGATTCAAATTAAATTAATTTTCTTTAGCCTCTCTAAGGGGGAGGGAAGTGTAGGGAAAATACCTTCTGCATAGTGGCTTTGGCTTTGATATAGTTATTGGTGTTGTGAGCATCGGGATTTGTAAGCAGATCTCAAATCTTATTTTTATAGTTTATTCTCAAACTGAAATTTTCTGCCTTGAAAGGCAGGCTCATACACAGTTGTGATATCTGAAAATGTTTAAACTGCTCTGAGTTTGATAGGCACTATAAAACTTTTAGTAACCAGGAGATCAGAAAGACACCTTCTAAATGTATTCTGCTCATCATGCAGTATCTCAAAGCTTCCCCTGCATACACTCACTAGACTTTCGTTCTCTAACATGCGAACCTGCAGGCCAGCCTGATGGACTGGGTGGAATACTGCATGTAGCTAGGAGTCCACGGAGCCAATGTTTTCCTGTAGTGATGCCTACAGTGTAGACACACACACTGTGCCTGAAGGTTGCTTTTAGAGAAGCTGTAAATCAGAGAAGGGAGCTCTGTCCTTCTGCCTCGTAGCTTCAAGTACCAGTCTCAATTACCAAGAAGCCAACAAAGCTCTGTTTGATTGCCTCGGAAGAACACAAACGCTCAGTGCCCTGCAGTATCATCACCCGGACCCGAACGTGATCCCGGTTTTAGCTTGGAGGTTCCGAGAGGTTTGTCAGTGCACGGGGAAGGGAGAGCCATAGCCCGTGCTGCGGCGAAGGGACGCGAGCGAACGGCACTTCACTGACTCTTCTCCGGGAGCGGCCAGACCCTCTGCTCGGGGCCGGGCTGCTGTCGGGAGGGACGCTCGGGCTGTTCGGAAGGTCTGCCCGAACTCCCGGGTTCGCCCCGCGGCCGGACCCCCCGCTCCCGCCGCCCTCACGGAGCCGCGTGCGCAGCCGCGCTGTGACCGCCAGGGG